AGCTCAAGTGCTGTGAACAAGCTAATTATCATTCTCAGTTTTCTGTGATAGTAAGCAAAACATCAACACTGACCACACAACCTGAGGTCCAAGTCTGATTGCTTGAGCATACAATACTTTAATGATATTTCATAACATGTGGTATAAAACATGATCTTACATAAATTATTCAGCATCATGCGGTTTTACTGTGCAACTGCCAAGTTCCTAATCTACTCGAAAGCCTTTGCTACAAGGAGAGCAAACCAATTTTTGTTGTGTCAACTTAGTTGACTAGTTTACTGACTAGTTCAGTGTTTGTAATACTTTACATAATTGCATGCATTGAAATATTAAATATTCTTAAGAGAGATTCATTTGAAAGTACAGAGGATCTGCTCTTTAGTATTACTAAACTCACATCCTGGATTCATAGAAAGATGCATTCATAGGCTGTGGAATAGAGATATATGCCAAGCTGTTGAGAGACATGTGAGGATAAGGTCAAGGCAGACAGTAATTCCCTACTACAGGAATTTAATGCCCGCAACTATTTTAAGTAACTGTCACATGCTTGGGTTCACCATGAAGATCAATTTGCAGTAAGTTTCTCTTGTTTCTTCAGCCTGACTTCCAGCTTACTTTATGGGCAGCAATATTTTATTCCCACAGTTATTAAACAGAACTGAGCTCAAGGGTAGTGATCCTAGGGTACACTTTTAAAATGTGATTTTGGAATATGCCATTTCCCTCACAAAAGGAGTTCTGTGTTGTAAGAGTGAAGAGAAATTGTGCTGTAATAAAGCACTGTAACGCGCAATGAGAAAACTATGCTCTGCTTTGTTTTCCTTTCCTCTCACAAATACTGTACGCTCACCACAGTCCTGTAATTTGCCTCTCAAAGCCCTGAATCCCAATGTAGCTACACCCTTGCTTCCTGAACACTTTGTCTGTTACGTAGCTCCCACAGGATGTGGACAAGGTAACTTAGTGGTTTAGCCCTCCTATGTTACCTGTCAAAGATCCATCCCCTGTGCTCATATGTCCATATACTTCATGGAAACTTCTATACGGATTGGAAGGACATTGGTTTTAAGAGCCCAGAAGCTTTCCAGACAGCGTCATACCTAAGTCACAAGCTGGCAAGGTCTTGCTTAATTAACAGATTCAGATCCAATGTCATGGCCAGCCTATGCTATCAGTAGCTGGTACTGTTGCCAAAAGCGGTGCCTAGTCACATCTCCTATCCTTGATTTACCCATTCTATTGTGCCATTGACACTGGTTCACTCAAGCAGCCAGGCTTGTGGCTATTCCCTCCTGCTGGTCTTCCAAGAACAACTTATTCAATTTTTTTCTCCCATACACAACGCTATAAGGAATTGTACAGTGAATTAACATTATTCAAAAAGCTACAGATCTGGTCACAACTCCCTGCCTTGGTTTACCCTGGATCTATGTTATGCTTTTTTTTGCTGTGACCTGTTTCCTGACATGTATGTGTCTATTAGAGGCAAAAATTATTGACTGAAAGAGTAGAAATGTAACAAAAGTGGGAATGTTTCAGCTCCATAGAAATGGAATTCAAGTTTCTCACATCATGAGTAAGGAAAAAAATATATACTCTTCCAGTTCCAGCTTTGCTTCCGACCTCAAGAAATGAGGTAGATAGGATCTATTTCCTTACTGAAAAGTCAACGAGGGGGGAGAAAACAAACAGTTTGGATGACAAATGTGATAAAGCTAAGGGCACGGCCCAAATGTTGGCAGTGCTGCCTGGGCCCTTACCTCAGGGCAGTGACGTCTGCTGCTGGGCAGGCACAGGCCTGGAGGACATGTTGCCTTTTACCCACTTTTTGTATTTGCTCATTTCCCAAAGAACTCAGCTGTGAATGTCATTGCCCCACACTGGCAACACACTACTGCTGGTCTTGCCCCTTTGCACACATGGGAAAAACAAGGCAGAAAATAAATGTGATACCCTGACAGTGAGGAGCCATTACCTATCCACAGCTCTGCAGTTTAACAGCGCAGAGCATCCTGCGAGCTGGGAACAGCAGAGATTCAGGAAGGCTACAGGGAGATGTACCTGTTCAGGAACAGGATTCAGACTATCCAACGCAAAGGTAGACAGTCGTGTGTGATAGCTGATGGGGTTAAGGAGGATTTGAGGCCCCTTTGGTAGATGTGTCTCAAGAGAAGCCAGGAGGCCTGTGTCACCTCACTGCTGTGGTGCTGTTGGGTGAGTGCTGCCCGGTGCTGCCTTGGGCAGCAATCCACTGGCCCAGCCAGTGGTGGGCCGAGGGTGGCACCTGGGTGGTAATGCTCTTCCTTAGCAGTCAAATACTGCCTCTGTTTCTTTGGAGATGGGAAAGGGCATCAACAGAACAGCTGGATTTCACACTGTCTGTGAGTACAGACAGGCAGATTTCAGCCTTTTTTGGATGTACAGGCCCACCAACATCTCACAAAGATATAACTATTCTAAGCCTTCATGTTTAGGCTTACAGCCAAATACTTTAATTCTTGCTATACCAGAAACACCCAGCTGACTGGTACCATGTGAACACTCTCCTGATGTTACACTGTAGCTCCTGATCAATCCACTGAAGCATGAGATAGTAAATCTGTCCATAGTTCCTGACAACATTCTTGGGAGATCATTAACTAATGACTTAATCATCTCCCAAGTTTATCAATCACCTTCTCCTGCCAGATGATGCGGTGAAGAGACTTCACAGTTTCGAGATGTTTCAGTTGCAGGCATTGTTTGAAATTCATTTACAAGTGGGAATACAGTGGTTGCTTTTTGCTCTGCTTGGCACATCTTTGGTTGCCACAGAGGCATGTTAAGCAGTCGCCCTACTGTCATCTGTAGGAAGAGCTGAAAGCATTGTATAGAAAATAACCTGCTTTTAAACCAGGATACGCCACATCATCCATAGTTTACTCTCCCTGTCCACTTAAAAGGACCCTGATTATTCTTAAATGCCTTAAAATTGTATAAAGGTCATAACCAGAGTTTAAACTGAACATTCTCTCGTGATGTGGTATAACAAAAAGAGAGTGTTTAGAAGAAAAAATAAAGATATGTTGCTGTGGCACCACATGATGGCTCTTTCAGGTATACCCACAGCGTTCAATATTAATTAGACCCACTCTTCCTATCAAAGTTAATTAATGCAAATCTGTTTGCAAACAGTAGATATCAGCCAAGGTGTAAAGGCTGTTTCTGAGCCACCCAAGTCACCAAGTTTAAACAACCAACCAACCCCACAAAACCCCAGAGAGGCTCAGGGTGTTCCTCACCTTTATAGTTCAGTTACTGTAAATGCTGTAAGTCGGCCTCCGTGTGATGTAGCTCCTAATCTAGAGTCTGCTGCAACCTTCACTGATGCAGGACCACCCAGCCAACAGCAGCCAGCAGGCGAGGATGGATGCTGCAGCATGTGGAGCTGGCAGAAGGAGTCTGGGATGGGGGCAAGGCCTGAGGCTGCCTGCCTGTCTGGCCTGGCTGCTTTCCTGCTGTGCTGTAGAATGCAGGGCTTTGAATACTGCTTGTTTTCATTGACCACCAAGTGGAAAACACGCTGCAGGACAGCAGGTCTGAAAAACACCGTGCCCTGATGGGATTGAGAGGCACTCCAGTTAGATCCAGTTATTTAACTGGCATAGTTCTTGTTGAGTAATGGATGTTTTAGCCAGTGACAAAGATGCTGAAATGACAGAGAAGACTCTTCTGAAGAAGGCATGCATGTGGAGTCATACATTGCCCACAGCTGCTTCTCATTTCCACGTATTCAAGTACTTCAACTAAAATAGCTTTTAAACTTCTATTGAAGTTATCGTTGTGCTGATTTTGAGTGAGTCTTTGTCAGCCAGCCAGCCAGACATCACCACAGGGCGAAGAGACACTGCTAACACCGCTCGTGGGCTGTCGGACAGCATGGAAGTACAGACATCGTGACACTGCAGAGCACAGGAGCCCAGCCACAGCTTCACTTGTGAGGTGGTTATAAAGCAGCTTTGTTGAAGGGAGCTATTTAAAAGGTGACCTGCCAGAAGGCATAAATAACATCGCTTTTCCTTTGAGTAGACGCCTAGCAAAGCAACGCTCTGGGATTACAACCAGGACCAAGCGAGGACACGCAGGTTTCGATGACGCTACGTCAAACCCGCGTCTCACGAGGAGCGCCGGCCGGGGCAGCTGAGGGGCGCTGAGGGGCACCGCCCGCCCCGCCCGTCACGCGGCCGCGAACACCGTGGGGCTCCCGGCGCGCAGCCCAAGTATAGCCGCTCTCGCCGCCGGGCCAATCCGGGGCAGGCGCCGCTCCACCCGCCCCGCCTCCGGCTCCGCCGCCGTCCCGTGACCGCGCCGCCGTCCCCCGCGCTCCGATAGGCGGCCGGGCGGGGCAGGGCCGCCGCGGCAGTCGGGCAACGCAGGGCGGGCGGCAGCCGGCGAGGAGCGGGATCCGGGATGGCGCGCAGCGGGCGGGCGCTCGGCAGGGCGCTGACGGGGAGGCTCGCCGCCGCGCCGCCTCCCCGAGCGGCTGCTGTCAGGTAGGCCCCGGGGAGCGGCGGGCGCGCGAGGTGCGCGATCTCGGCCGCCGGCACTTCTGACGCCGCCGGGGGAGCGAAGCGGAGCGCCGCGAGTTGAGTGCTTGAGGCGGTGCCGATGCCCGGGCCGATCCATCAGCAGAGCCGTGCCGCTGCGCGCTTCCCGTCTCCTTAGCGTGGGGCGGCTGCGACGGCCGGGCGGCGTGCGGCTCGCGGGGCTGCGTGCCGAGGGGGGAAGGAGCCGGGCGCTGCGGCGGAGAGAGCCGCGGGGAAGCCGTCAAGAGCGGTGGAAGGCGCGGCTGTGCGCTCCTGCGTTAAACGCGAAGCCGCGGAGCCGTCCTCCTCCTGCACGGACAGCGTGCACAAACACAGCCGGCTCTCGTGCTGCCCGCGTCTACGGAACGGCCTGTCGGCTTCCTGTGACCGCATTCTGCACCGCGCAGCAGACACAGGATACACTTTACATCACTTTACATCCTCGCCATTAAAATAGTTGGGTCCTGCAAAGTAAACCAGCCATTTTCAATGAACGTTTTAGAAACGACGCAGTTCTGAATGGGGAGCGGGAGCAATTACCGAGAGGGGCATTCAGCGCAAAGCTTAGTGGCGATTAAAGGCAACCCCCGAATACGTGCTGCTGCTGGGGAAGCGCTGAGGGGCTGTCAGGGCAGCGCGGCAGTAGGAGCGGTGCCTGCATCCTGGGAGGGACTTGGCTTTGCTTCGGGGGCCTCTGCCGGGCTCACAGGAACACACGACTGCCCATTGCGGCTCGTACTTGTGTGGTCTCCTGAAGAAGCGAGCTGCTCCGGACCGGGGCCAAGCCCAGCAAGTTCTGGTAGCATCCATTCTTCACAGATAATCTAGAGAAACATGTAGCCACACCAGTTTAGTTAACATTATAACCTCTCGTAACCCCTCCTTCCTTGAAAGGCAATGTAGCTAAAGGATGTTATCTTACAGTAGCTACAAAAGCATTTGCAGAGACTGTTTTTCAGCCTTGTGCTGAAATGCATGCAGATAAAATTGTATGAGACACTGCACTGGCATAGCTTGACAGTAAAAAAAACAACTACTGGAAGACACCTGCCAGCAGGTTGGGACTGCGTGCTGTAGGCAGCACTAGACAAAGAAACTTAAATGAGTGCTCCAGAATGAGCTCTGGTCCAAAGCTGTGAGCTCTTTCAGTGAGTCTGGTTGAGGCTGCAGAGTTACTGGCACCTATCCACTATTTCTGTTGAAGCCACAATTATCAATTATCCTTAATGGTCCTGTCTGGTCTGAAGTGGGGAAAAAAACAGGCTGTGTCCATCCCTTGAGATACAATTCCAAATGTATGCAGAGCTTGCTGTTGGAAGACTTTTTAAGTAGGCTTGTTGTCTTCATTTCACCACTGTGCTGATGTAGGACCTTAGGTCGTCTCTTTTCAGCTGTGGTGATTACAGGCTGTGGTGTCAATCACCCTGCTTCATCTCACAGTTGCTCATTTATTTTTTAAAGAAGTCTGTGCAGATAATTGCTAATGAGCCAATGGGGATATTTATTTCCCTCTAAACCCAAAACCAGTTTGTTCTTTTCATTCCTTCGAGTACAGTGACCATACAGAGTAATGTGGTCAGTCTAGGGCTATTACTGCATTTCTTTTAAATTGAAAGTTATGTTGATTTTTAAAGAGCATGTTAATAATAATTTCAACTGCTTAAAATCAGTAACTGTAATTTGCTAAACTACTTTGGTGGGTGGAAAAAAATGGCATCCATCACTGCTCAGTGTGTTAAAGAACAACAAACAAGTCTTCTACTAGGCAAGGAAGGTTGGTTCAATTTTTGACTTTGTAAATCTAGAGGTACAGTCCTGATTGTTTAATGAAACAGAAAAAGACCTTGGTTGTGCTCCAGCTTACGTACATAGAACTGCTGACAGCAAACAGTGACATTTTGAACTCCCTGGTGCCAAAACCCGTAGCTGAGTTAACATTTTACATCTGAACTGGCTCAATCTAGGCAAAAGTGGTAATTTAGCATGAGACCTATCAACCACAGTGAGTATTTGCTAGGCTGTAGTGCAGTTGTTCACGGAGGAAAAGCTGAGATGGTATCTGAACTGATAGCATTTCTTAATTTGTTCGGTGTAATTTCTGAAAACAACACATTCACGGTTCTGTGTGTTATTTTCAAGACAAGAAAATGTTCAGTGCTGGGGATGCAGTGCAGTTTCTGAAAGCACTTCCAAAATAAAATCTTCCTTTTAAGAGAAAGAAGGCAGCAGAGGGATTACTGCTGTAATTGCAAACACAAGCACTGCACGATCCAAAATAATGCGAGGTATGCCTTGATTTTGCTGGTAAGAAGTTATATTCTGCAAATGCAAGTGCACGAGTCTTGTACGAGAACTCAGGCTGCCACGAAGCCGGTGTTTAATGGGGGCCTTTGTTACTTCACTCTGCCAGCTTCTCGTCTCGTGACTGGGAGCTATTTTTAGTTTCTACTAAAGGGAAAAAAAAACACCTCATGTTTTGAATAGACTGCAAACTGCTACCAGCTTTTGTTTTTCCATGTAAGTTGGACATTTTCTGGAACGCTACTGAGCAGACTGTGCCATCTCACCTGCTGTGATCTGCCTTGCTGAAAAGACAAACATCTAAAAGCATTCTCACTGTTGCAGGCACTTGGCTTCTTGTGGTATTCTGATGACCAGAATTTCTCCTCTGCAAGTGCCTGTGCTGAGCCATACCTTTTCAAGAAGTTTCTTCAACATTGCTGCACCACTAGTAAATAAAAGAAAAGAATACTCTGAAAGGAGAATTATAGGGTATGTATAGAAATTTGAAAATTTGTGTTTGCTGTGATTAATCAGAAACACTGGAAATCCAAAGGCTGACCATCCCTGAAGATACATGGCCCTGAGACTGTGCCCAGCTGGAGACCAGCAGTAAGTTCTGACATCCAGAACTTGTAGATGTCAGGCTGTTCATGTCTGAAATTCAATACCAAAAACTGAGGAACCTAAAATACCGTCTCTCCTTTGAAAGAAAAAGCAGAAATAACCTTTTTATTCCGCAACAGAACAAAAACAGTCCCAACAGGGAAGCATGCATCACTAATCTGGTGAAATGGGGGTATGCAAAAAGATGGGAGAACTGAATTTTTTTTTTTCCCCCTTTTCTTGCAAATACGTGCAATGTTACACTTAGATTTTGTGGTACTTCTCACTTGAGATTTTGTTCTCTTTTCAATAGAAAGAAAATAACTAATTGTGGGATTAAGAAACACAGGCACACAGAAAAAAGACTTTGTGGAAAACTTCTCATCAACTTAATGAGATTGGGATCTGTTCCCAGGCTCCAGTCTGCAGTAGTATAATTCATTCATTACGTTTAATATTTTTGATGATACTTAACATTCACTTATATAGTAATTCTTGAGCTGCAATAAATTGTGGGTAGTTGTTTAAAAGGAACCTTTGTCCAATAATAGTGTTTTTCCAGCGAGTGTATTTTTTAATCAGCTTGTTTTAGGAGCTAAGTAAGGAACAGAGTGTTGCTCTATTTAAACCTTCTAAAACACAGGCCCTTAGTTTTGCCATCCCTTTTTTGGAGGATGTGAAGAGCACATTCTTTCACTGTGTGAAACGTCACATCCACCCGAATGACAACACACCATGCTGGAAAAAACTCTTTTTTCTATTTGAAATCTAAGCATGCTTCCCCAGTACTGCAGAAAGTAGCAGGCAACAGGCCCAGCGGTCACTAACCTCACAGCTGGACGCTGTGTGCTGTTTTGCTTCTTTCTGCAAAGGCTTTCACCAATTTACAGCTTTTTTTTTCCTCTTGCTGCATGTTTAATTTTCAGAATTAACAGTAGGGTTTTCTGGTATCTGCATGTTCACCTTCAGAACTTCCTGTGCCGTAAATGATATCTTTGAACCTTTTAATACTGAATTCATAGTAAAAACACCAGGTAACTGTAACGCTCACCTTTTTATTCCAGTTATTCTATGCAGGAAATGTACGAAGTTGTTGCTGTTGTGGAGAACTACAAGCTATTTGTGCCTTGGTGTAAAAAGTCAGACGTGTTATCGAAGCGCTCTGGGTACTGCAAAGCACAGCTAGAAATAGGCTTCCCTCCTGTAGTAGAACGGTACACATCGGTTGTTACCCTGGTGAGACCACACTTAGTTAAGGTAACTTCTTCTTACCTATCGCTCTCCATAACTCATGTGTTATACATTCCAATATTGCTTCCTGTGGTACAAAACTGGTGCTTTTCCTTAAAAACTTCAGGTTACTCAGGGATAATTTGAATCTGCTTTTAAAACATCAGCTGCCAAATAGGGGAAAAATTGTTTTTTAAGCTTGTTTTTGCTGGAGAAGGAGGCAGCCATTCAAGATAGCCAGTTTGTGTTTATTTTGGTTATGTATCAAGCCTATCTAAATGCAAAATCAATGGCTTCAAAGTTATCGCACAACTGTCGCTTCTGGTATCTGAGCAAAATCATTCTTTTTCTTCTGACAGTTTTAATTATGTAAGAAGTGTTAACTTCAGGATGAAGATCTGCTGAAGAGCTTGTTATTCAATATATTATGAGAACATCAGTTGTTTTAAAGTCCATTTCTTAGAATTTATTTGTTTAGCAATTGTGTGTTTTCTCCTTTCAGCTTTTCAAGGGCAATAATTAAAGGAGAAATTTAAATGAGGCCAGGATCTTTCAACTGCTTGTCTACCTCCCAGGTTCACTCTGTTAGGAACAGCCCCAACCAGATCTGCACCAACTGCCTCTCCCTTTATGTGGCAATTTTGATCACCTTTTGGAGCAATTAATGAAATGACAGTTGGTTACTATTCAAGACACGTATTTGGACATCTTATTTTACTGTTCTTTTCTAGGCTTCCTCTTATGGAACACTGCTCAAAACAGAAATGGGTTTCTTAAGTGCAGGGGGGACATGAATTGGAAAGAGAACATGCAAAGTACTTTTAATCAAGGTACTTACTAATTTTGGAAAGAAAAAAAAAACTTCCTTGCATTTCTAATAAAGTTGAACAACTGCAATAGAAAAATCTGCGTTCTACATGCTTTCCCTTTCTGCTCTTCCCTGACAAGAGTGCCTATTTTTTTTTCTTCTTTCACAGATAGATATCAGGTTGCCTTAAAAAGCCTTTTTCGCTTTTATTCTGTCAAAAGAAAAGTTCCCATCTCAGAAAAGACCAAGAAATGTTAGTGTTATCTCTGCTGGGATGATTTTTCCTACAAGTTTACATTATGCTCATGTAACTGTAGGAACATTACCATGAAGTACTATGTGTTTGGACTACTACACTGTCTTCAGAAATAACTCTGGGCAAAGGCAGCTTGCATGGTGTTTCTGTATAGCAGCCTATTGGCGATGACAAAATGAACATGGATTTCTTAAGCAGTGCTTAAGCCCTAGAAAATCAAGCTGGTAGCAGCAGCTCTTGCTGCTGAGGGAAGAGCCGGCTGAGTTTCACTGCTTGTCAGGTTGGGGGCGAGGGGCACATGCTGGCACTTTCCCCATGCTTCCTGTCCTTTTGTCAGCAACAGGCCTGAAGGGCTCAGCTCCCTTTTCCTGTCTGCCCTTCTCTCTATTCCTTCCCCTTCTATTGCAGAAGCAGTGAGGCACTGTATTGCTATACTGGGCAGAAAAAAATGAGGTACTTTTCTGCATTTGATCAGTCTTTGAGGCGGCCTGGTTTATGGTTTTAAAGGAGGACTGTATAGAAGGGCTCTCAGATTACTGATTAAACGTGTCTTGCTGGAAACAAAGCCAAGATATAAGGCAATTATGAACTTGAGTGTATATGGTTTCACTGACTTTGGGGTAGTTCTTGATGATGATAGCGCCTTATGACAAAGGACTTTTTGAGTTCAGCATCAAAATAAACCCGATTGAAGTCAAACATTCCTATAGCACAAGATTACCGGTCTACACATTAATATATAAAGCATTCTATACATGTATTAAAATAAATACATATACAAAGCCAGTAAATATCGACATCCTTTGCTGAAAACAGTGTTATACCAATATTTTGGTAATAGAGCACTAACATTATCATGGCATGGGATGCCTTAGGCAAGAGATCTGTTTTACGACTCAAGACAAAAATCCTTCCCCCACCATACAAGGTTTTCAGTTCTTTTACTCTACGTGACGCTGTGCAAATGAGATCTCTCGCTGGCTGCACTATTGAGAACAATTTTTAACTATACTGTGACCCTCACAGTCTAGCAGAATGCGAATGCACGTTCAGTAATCCTGATTTGTCCCTCGTAGGAGCTTAACTGCAGCTTGGCTTTTCAAACTTTCTTTCAGGCATCCTGCACTGATGGAAAGCTATTTAATCACTTGGAAACAATCTGGCGCTTCAGCCCAGGTATCCCTGCCTATCCAAGGACATGTACATTGGATTTTGCAGTAAGTACTGTAATTAAAACTTGGACATGCGAGAAATGGGGCATAAAAATATTCTTTGGTTGCATGTAAGAAAAAAAGAGTATGTGGTACCGTTTTCCCTCTGCCCTCCCACCCACTGACACTGAAACTGAGTTAATGGTTGTGAACGTTACCATGTGGAAACTGCTACATGGTTCTTTAGAGACAGCAGCAGTCTGCGAGATGTCCACACACAACGACTAGGGACTGGTATCTCTCACCTTAACATTCTCTATGTGTTACAGTTTTAGATAAGCAAATACAGGGGGAGAAATCATAAACATATTCATGGACTTTGCTGTTTCCTTTGATCAGTTTACAACCAAAGTACTCTTGTTATCAGAAAGTAGATATTCTCCCATCTATCCTGTTTGGCCTACAAGTTTTGCCAGCTTGATTTCCCAACTTTTAGTTTTACTATTTCATGTACTTTAAGTCCTACTCCACCTAAAACACTGCTGCATAATTCTTTAGAGAAATGCTGCCCTTCTATTTTAGGATATCACAGGAATGGCCTGATGCTGCTGGCCTATACTGGGACACTCTTCTTTGAAGAATCTCTTCTGCAAATAGGAAAAAGAGCTTTTAGAGTATTTGTCTAGTGCCACATAACCTCACTGGGTTAGCAACTTTCACCTTATTGCTGTACTGAGCTTCAACAGTCCAAAAATTAACCTATAGGCACTTGAAAATTTATTTCTCATGGCATTTAATAACCATGTTTGCATGTTAGTTGCTCATGGTATTTAAATTTCTCCAGGCTAATAAGTGCCAGTTCCTGCTACTGACTAGTAATTAACTTGAGAAAACTTCAATTAAGCATTGATATAAACCCTGTTCTTTAAGTACTGGGTTTGTGCAGAAAGTTTTTTCCCCATTGAAGCCAACTTCAGGTTGAGAATTTCAGTTAGGCTCAAATCTGCACTTAAAACGGGCATTTTCTTCTCAAAGAAACACCATTAATACCTTACGTTGCTTACATCATTTGAGGTAACAGAAGCAAATACAGCCAGGTGAGCAGGAGGTTGTCTTACAACAGCAAGTACTTCAGGATTGTAACCCTTGCCCAATTCCAACGTGCTGTGCCTCAGGCCTAACCTGACTGCATTGATAAACACTTCAGAACAAACTTCTCAAAGCATACTGCGGAACTGAGTGAGAGAACACTGATCTCAAGAGTGCTGGTTAGCTTTAGAAAGTTTTGAGTTTTGCTTATGCTGGCTCCCCTGGCCTATGGCATTGTTCTGCCAG